CAAAGTTATTATTCTAGAAAAGAATAAACCTAGTTTTAATTTTAAGAAAGTACGTTGTGTCACTTAAAGTTTCGTACAGAAACGAATTTACGGAAAATTTAACTAACGAACGGAGACATAACAATGTCAACTCTTAGGCCTTTCACTCATTCCCACAATGATTAACTTTGCGTTTAACTTTTCTCTGACTGAACTTCTCCTTCCTGTGATATTAACTTACTCTCTTCTGCTCTCTTTTTTTTGTGTGCTTGCCAGCTATTTATATGTCTATCACTTAAGCCTTCTAGAAATCTCTGTAGCCTCAACATCAATGGACTGTATGCAACGTTCAATAGCCTCGACATCAATGAACTGTAAACACCATGTATGATTCTTACCGAGTTATGTAACCAAACTTGTCATAATTATTGCCTTTAAAATAATTACTTTTAACTCTCTTGTTGTGAAAAAAATAAACAATCCTTAAATATTTACTCACAAAATAAATATATATTAATAATACCTACATTAAACAGTCTTTTATATCTAAAAAATTATTTTTTTAAATTGCAAGATAAGCAGAGACCTTCAAACCATAGATTGTATAATTGCATTTTCTAGAGGGAAAGAGGACTTCATGTATAGCACAAATGTGTTTGAAATACTTGTTTTGTATTTAAACTAACTAAAATCATTTCTTTTTGTAAATGTTTGATTCCACAATACCAAGGTATTAAGCTATAGTTCTCATGAAATATACATTTAGCATAATATTTGAAAGGGCTTCCTTACTGGTGAATTATAGCTTTATATATGAACACTTTCCAAATTACATCATTTGTAATGAAATGTGTGAGTAAACAAAGTACTCAGTCTTCAAATGTAAAAGATTAAAATGTGTTTTTGCATTCTACCAGTGCGTTATAGCTATATGATTCCTTAGAAATGTGCAGGAAGACACTCCTTTGTTGTCTCTGATCATTTATACTTAAAGAGTTTTGAATAGGCTTCTTTACTTTAGTTTCCCATTTTAGCAGAATTCTGCTAGAGTTCCATAATCTGTGGGATTTTATGACATTAAATTTCACACATGAATTTGGGTAAAATCTTAAACATAGGTTCTTACACTTGTGGCCATTATTAATTTATTTATTTATAGTTTTTGGTCAGATATCTCATGTTTGAAATTTTTTTTTATTTAGATTTTTATCTTTTACTTTTGTACATTTTTTTAGGTATTTAACAAAACTTTTAATTGGTGTTCCACTTATTTCATTCATGTACTTTTCATGATATCATGATTCTATTTATTTGGTTAACTTTAATAATCATTGTCTTTGTAAAATTTTATAATGATTGAATGTCAAAACAATTCACATATCTGTTATCAAAAAGGAGAGTATTATGGTTTTTTTTCATTTAACCTCGTAGAGCATAATAAGAATTCAGTAATATTAATCTTTGTCATCATTCTACACACTTTTCAGTCACATCAAATCAGCAGTGTATGTGGATTAAAGGAAATGCAAAATTAATATAAAACATTTTACCTATTTTACAAACAGTATTTTGATGCAGACTATTATATGAAAATGCAGATTATTTAAACATCTGAACATGACTTCAAAACTTGTGTTATGTAAATTTTAATTATTCATTTCAGGTACAGACTTCGAGAACAAGTAGGCAACAAAGAAATGTCATCAGATATTACTATTCTAGCAGCAGATAGACAGGATTCAGACAACTATACATGCCTCGCATCTAATATTTTTGGTCAGCATGATACCAAAGTAAAGCTCGTTGTACAAGGTTGGTGAATAAAATTGCATATGGTACCTTTTAAATCTTTATGTTAAATTATTTTTTACAGTCAAACTCTGTCTGTTTCTCTTTTAATCATAATACTGTAAGGAGTACTATTTGATAACAATGTGGGTACATTGTAATTAGTCTGTTGTAGTTTGTCCTATGGTGGTCCCTTACAAAGCTCAGTTAAGGAGCCCCTACCTCCTATATCTACCAGTAATACTCTACTAAAATACCATTATTTCAAACAAGGCAACGAATACACTATTGATAACATAGGCCTGTGAATTTAAACTTCATAAAAGTTGTTTTGGTTTTAATAATAGATTTTCCATAATTCAGCTATGCAAATTTCCAAATAATATTCCTTTTTTTCCATTATATAAGGATTTTTTCTGCAAATCGGAAAGAAGAAAAATTTACTTAGATCAAATTATTATTTCGTTTACCACAATGAACATTTGTTATTATCATGTTTGTTAACACAAATACAAACAAACTGAAGAAAAGGAAAAAACACTGATGTCAAACGAATATGCATCCTCATTCATCCTGATTTTTTTGT